TGCTTTAGGTGAAAGTTGACAGAGCAAATTAGTTTCTCATTCAACAATTTATACACAGACTGTTTTGTGACATTGGTTGCAATCCCTGAAATGTGACAATACTCTCCCCTTCTCCACCCCGGGTTCCCCGTTTCCATTTGTCCCATTTTCCTGCCCCTTCTTGCCTTCTTGTCTTTCTTTTGGGCAGGTGTTGCCCATTTGGCCTCATTTATATGACTGAGCTAAGAAGCACGTTCCTCACGTGTGTTATTTGTTTTAAAGACCTGTGTAATCTTTGGTTTAAGGGTGAACTTCGTGAGTGATTTCAGTTCTGCATTAAAAGGGCATCTGGGGGCCATAGTGTCGGGGTTCCTCCACCTCAGTCAGACCAGTAAGTCTGGTGTCTTTTTTTTTGTGAATTTGAATTTTGATCTACATTTTTCTCCCGCTCTGTCCAGGACCCTCTACTGTGATCCCTATCAGAGCAGCCGGTGGTAGTAGCCAGGTACCATCTAGCTGTTCTGGACTCAGGCTGGTGGAGGCTGTGGTGCTTGTGATCCATTAGTTCTTTGGACTAACATTTCCCATGTGTCTTTGGTTTTCTTCATTCTCTTTTGCTCTTGACGGGATGGGACCAGTAGATGTATCTTAGATGGCCGCTCGTAAGCTTTTAAGACCCTGGATGCTATTCACCAAAGCTGGATGTACAACATTTTATGAATTATGTTATGCCAGTTGACCTAGATGCTCCCCAAGAATGAAGAAGTCTTTATGGCCAGGAAGGTGTCTGAGCTTGGTCTTAAAGGAAGGGGTAAGATGGTGGTGGATTGAGGTACGGGTATTGCAGAGGGGAGGGATCGAAGAAACAGAAGCAGCGAAGTGCAATGCAGGCCCACGAGGGAAGAGCAGAAAAGCCTGCTCTGGCCTGAGAGGACATGGAAACGAGGCTGGAAAAGCTGCAATGGGTTGATCCCTCTAGAACACTGCATGCTAGCCTGAGAATGTGTGACCCTTCTTGTTGGGCAGAGGGAAACCAAGGATGGTTCTAGAACAGCTCAGTGACTTGACTGGACCTACCTGTTCTTTCCAATGATTAGTGGGCTACTCAGCATGTAATGGGTGGGATAAGGGAAGTGTCTAGACCTGCTCTGTCCAATACAGCAGCCACATAAAGCTCTTGAGCATCCGAAATGTGGCTATTCAGAACTATTGTTGTTGCTAGCTGCCATCAAGTTGGCCCCCAACTCATGGTGACCCCATGCACAATGGAATAAAACACTGCCCGATCCTGCGCCATCCCTGATACTGGTTGCAGATCGGACCATTGTGATCCGTAGGGTTTTCATGGGCTGATTTTCAGAAGTAGATCACCAGGCCTTTCTTCCTAGTCCGTCTTAGTCTGGAAACTGTTCAGCATCAGAGAAACATGAAAGCCTTCACTGACGGGTGGTAGGTGCACACGAGATGCATTGGTTGGGAGTCAAATTCAGGTCTCCCGCATGGATGGCAAGAATTCTACCATTGAATCGCCACTGCCCCCATAACTACCAATGCCCCAAAATGTTTCTAATTCACAAAATTCATTGTTAGTACACTGGCCACAAACTCAGAACCTTGCCCACATACCCGACTTCCAGGGTCTCTCCTCGAATCAGACGTAATTTCCTGAAGAAGGAAAGTGACACAAGAGCGTAGGAGCGGCGGATTTTGAGATACCCTGAAATCTCTTCAATGAGGCCAAGGTTGGCCTCTAGCTCAGCTGCCAGGTTGTCTAGGAAAAGGAGAGAATATTCAGTAGGTTTCTACATAAATATTTTCATTGTCCCATAATCAACCTAAAAACAAAAAAAATCAAACCTGTAGTCATCAAGTTGATTCCAACTCACAGTGACCCTACAGGACAGAGTAGAACTGCCCCATAGGGGTTTTCAAGGCTGTGATCTTTACAGGAGCAGATAACCACGTCTTTCTCCTGTGGAGCCGCTGTGTGGGTTTAAACTGCTGACCTTTCAGTTAGCAGCTGAGCAATTAACAACTGCACCACCAGGGCTCCTTGGAGTCAATCTACAGGCTGCAAATGAGTTCATCATGCTCTGCTCAAAACCCACCATGCTTAGAACACAACTGAAGTCCCTACTGTGGGTTCTGTTGTTGTTGCTCTTAGCTGCCGTGGGTCAGCTGACTCATGACAACCTCATGTACAACAGAAACAAACGTTGCCCCGTCCTATGCCATCTTCATGATTGGTGGTAAGTGTCATGGATTGAATTGTGTCCCCTCCCCCCAAAATATCTGTCAACTTCGCTAGGTCATGATTCCCGGTATTGTATGATTGTGTACCATTTTGCCATCTGATGGGATTTTCCTATGTGTTGTATGTTCTATCCCTATGATGCAGTAAGATATAAAAGAGAGAAGCGAGCAGAGAGACATGGGGACCTCATACCACCAAGAAAGCAGTGCCGGGAGCAGAGTGCATCCTTTGGACCTGAGGTTCCTGCGCTGAGATGCTCCCAGACCAAGGAAAGACTGATGATAAGGACCTTCCTTCAGAGCCAACACAGAGAAAAGGCCTTCCCCTGGAGCCAGCACCCTGAATTCTGACTTCTAGACAACTGGACTGTGAGAGAATGAACTTCTCTTTGTTGAGGCCATCCACTTGAGGTGGTTCTGTTATAGCAGCACTAGATGACCAAGACCAGTATACTTGAGTTCATGGTTGTGCCCACTGTGCATTATCAGCGCCTTCCAACCTAGGGGGCTCATCTTCTAGCACTGTATTGGACAATACTCTGTTGTGATCCATAGAGTTTTCACTGGCTAATTTTCAGAAGTACATCGCCAGGACTTCCTAGTCTGTCTGAGTCCGGAAGCTCCACTAAAACTTGTCCACCATGGGTGACCCTGCTGGTATTTGAAATACCAGTGACGTAGCCTCCAGCGTCACTGCAGTATGCAAGTCACCACAGTCTGACAAATGGACAGGCAGATTTTTTGCCACTACCTGACCTTATACTACGCATTCATTTGTTTATTTGTAAGCTCTGCAACAGTAAGGACTTTGCCTTATTCACTGTGAATATTTAATAAATGGTTGCAGAATAAACAGACACACAGAATGTCTTTTTGCTTATGACAGTATTTCTTTTTTAAATAGGATTAAAAAAAAAAACCTTACTGTGATGAAAACGACAGTTTTTCTTAAAACGTAGTCTGCAAACCCGTACAACAGAACATGTTGCTTGATTGTTACAAATGCAAATTCCTGGTACACCACCGTTCACTGCAGCATTACTCACGATAGCCAAAACGTGGTAATAACCCAAGTGTCTATCAACAGATGAATGTAAAAACAAAATGTGGTCTATACACACAATGGAATACTACTCAGCCAGAAAGAGAAATGAAGTCCTGATGCATGTGTTATGGATCGGATTGTGTCCCCAAAAAATGTGCATAAACTTGGCTATTGGGTGATTGTCCACCATTTTGTCATCTGATGTGATTTTCCTACATGTCGTAAATCCTACCTCTATGATGTTAATGAGGTGGGATTAGGGGAAGTTACTTTCATGCGGCAGGGGGACCTCATACCACCAAGAAACAAGAGCCAGGAGAATAGCACATCCTTTGGACCCAGGGTCCCAGCACCGAGAAGCTCCTTGACTAGGGAAGATTGATGACAAGGACCTTCTCCCAGAAATGACACAGGAAGAAAGCCTTCCCCTGGAGCTGGCGCCCCGAATTCAGACTTCTAATCTCCTAGACTGTGAGAGAATAAATTTCTCTTTGTTAATGTCATCCACTTGTGGTGCTTCTGTTACAGCAGCACTAGACGACTAAGCTAACATGGATGAACCACGGAAACATTATGTTGAGTGAAATAAGTCAGGCACAAAAGGACAGATATTGTATGAACCCAGTATATAAAGCAGCTGAATGTAAGAGACCAAAGTTGACTAGTGGTTACCAGGGGTGGGAGGGATGCCAAAAGAGGGAGACACCGTTTAGGGGATGCTGAGTTTCTGTTAACAGTGGTGGAGTAATTTGGAAACAAGTACAATGGTTTACACAACATGATGACCGTCATCAGCGTCACTGAATTGGACAGGTAAAAATTATTGAATTAGCAAATATTTTGTTATACATATTTTACCATCAAAAAAAAAGAGAAAGAGAGGGAAAAACAAATTCCTAGATGGCCCAAATTCAAACACGGAAAAGCAGAACCTCTGGGAGTGGGGGCTGTTGATTTCTGGTTTTGAAGCGAATGCCTCTGTTGAGTCCAACTAATGAGAGAACCACTGACGGATGGTGTTAAAATCACCTCTTCGAGTTTTGGCTTCTCTGCCCAGCCATCAAAGTGCCTGCGTGGTGCAAACAGTTAAGTGCTCTGTTGCTAACCAAAGGTTGGTGGTTCAAACCCATTTAGAAGTGTCTCAGAAGAAAGGCCTGGTGATCTGCTTCTGAAAGGTCAGAGCCTTGAAACCCTATGGAGCGGTTTTATTCTGCACACATGGGGTCGCCATGAGTTGGAACTGACTTGATGGCAACCGGCAGGGTGGTATGGCGTCTGATCATCAGAGAGGTTCTCAGTTCGGCTGTTTCCCTCTTGCTCCCAGGGACAGTGGAGCCCAGCAGGCCCCTGCCCGCCCGCCACCTCCCCAGGGGACTCACTGCCTCCTCGGATGTTGATGATCAGACTCCCGTTGACCACGGTGCACCCTCGGAGCTCCTGGGCGGATGTCACCGAGTCAATAGTCTTCTCGCCCTCCAGGAGGTGGCAAACCTTGGGGCAGGGGCCCAAGCACGGAGTGCACATCAAGCTGAGGAGAGAGCACAGCCAAAGGGGTCAGGGTGGGTACAAGGTGGTGCACACAAGACCTCCCGCCCCCTGACCTGGCAGACAGTACACTGTGTAGGGTCCCAAGTGACAGGACTTACACCGTTACCCTACAGACAGTTTCTCAACGCCAGCACTAACGACGTTTGGGGCTGGAACATTCTTTTCTGTGGGAGGCCATTCTGTGCACTGTAGTGTGTTGAGCAGCATCCCTGGCCTCCACCTAGTCAATGTCAATGGCACCCCCCAGTCGTGACAAGCAAAAATGTCTCCAGACATTGCCCAATGTCCCCTGGGGGTGCAAATCACCCCTGAGTAAGGATCACTGCCCTAAAGAGACATTCACGCATTATCCCGTGGTGACAGATCCCACAGCATTACTGGAAGTCAGGGGCTCATGGTTTACCCCAAAGTGACAAGACTCAGATAACCAAAATGTGATCCATCCATACAATGGAATAGTACTCAGCCATAAAGAGAAATGAAGTCCTGATGTGTGCCATAAAACAGATGAAGAACCTTGAAAACATAATACTGTGTGAAATAAGGTAGACACAAAAGGATAAATGTTATATGATCTCACTTACATGAAACATCTAGATTAGGCCAACTGTATAGAGATCAAAGTTTATTAGTAGTTACCCAGGGCAGATGGGAGGGGGAAAGGGGCACGCTAAGCTTAGGGGGCACTGAGTTCCTGTTAATGGTGGTGGGATACTTCGGACATGGACAGCGGTGATGGTTATACAACATGATGTTCAATGCCTCTGAATTATACATATGAAAAATTGTTGAACTGGCGAATGTTTGGGTACATATCCTTTTACTGCAATAAAACAATTCTAAAAGGTAACAGTACTAAAGTCTTCCACAAAATGAAAGCTTCAGAAGGAAAAATAGTCAAGTTTTTTTTAAGAAACCCAACAAAGTAAAGTCTTGTCACGCTAAATCATCGTCAGCATCCTTCACTCTGCCCTCTTCCATTCAGTAAAGACCCCAAGTGCTGGGTTGCAAGAAGCACCGTCAGTTACCCAGGCATTCGGTTCCAATGGCCACACCACTATCAGCCATAGCACCAAAGGAACAAATTTCTGTCCAGTCAGCTCTGACTCATGGTGACCCCACATGTGTCAGAGTTGAACTGTGCTCCATAGGGTTTTCATGGTTGTGACTTTTTGGAAGTAGATTGCCAGTCCTTTCTTCTGAGATGCCTCTGGGGGGAATCTAACTGCCAACCTTTTGGTTAGCAGGTGAGTGTGCTAAGCTTTTGCATCACCCAGGGACTCCAGCACCAAAGGAGACCCCTGTATTTCTTAGGTCTCAGCTATCAGGAAGGAGTCCCTAGTTGGCATAAATGGTTAACTGCTTGGCTACTAACTGAAAGGCTGGCAGTTTGAATCTACTTAGCGGCACTGCGGAAGAAAGGCTGGGCGATCTACTGCCATAAGATCATTGTTGTTGTTGGTTTTCAACTCATAGCAACCCTACGTGACTGAGCAGAACTGTCCAATAGGGTTTTCTAGACTGTAATCTTTATGGAAGCAGATTGCCAGGTTTTTCTCCTGAGAAGCCACTGGGCAGGTTCGAACCACCGACCTTTCAGTTGGCAGTTGAGTGCTTAACCCTGGAGCCACCAGGGCTACCCTCCATGAGAGTATAGCCATGGAAAACCCTACAGAGTGCAGTTCTATTATGAAACAGGTGATGTCGTCATAAGTCGGAATCGACTCGCTGGCAACAGGTTTTTCTTGGTTTTTGTTATCGGGGAAGACGATACCTTTAATTTAAAGCTAATATCTTTTATTAGCTGTGCTGCTGAAGTGAGCACTAAAGCTAATGTCTTTTAAACAAATGTCTTACCAGCAGACGTTAATAACCACTCTTTATTTCCAACATGAAAAAAAAAAAAGTAATGAATCAAAAGGAATAGAATCATTTTCCCAACATTACCGACAAACTGGCAAAAAACAGCTTCATCCGGCAGGCAAAGGTGATTTACAGAGGCCTATTTTTAGCCAACAAAGCCACTTGATAGGTTTTATCAAAAAAAAAAAAAGATAAAATAAAACGTATCGTACTTCGCAGGCTTCGCAAACACTGGAAGAGCGGCCCCCAAGACCGAAAATAAAGGCTGTTTTCCTTCCCACCCTCCCCACCCAGGGAAATAAAATTTCCCGCCAGAACATGCTCACTTGGCTAATTCTCAGGCCTTGAAGAGGAAGATTTCCTGCGTAAGCAGATCAGCTGCAAGGCCCCTGGACGTGCGTCTGTTTCTGATTTGTTTGTGTTGTTTTGTTTTTATAAACCTCTCAACACAAAAACCAGGAAACAGGTTTTTTAACTTGGTTATGACCCCGAGACACCGAAATAGCTCCTTGGAGAAGCTGAGGGCATGAACGGCCAGCCTCTGCTGCAGCAGTGGAAGTCTGACTCACGGCCAAAGGGAGAAAACACAGCTGTCTCTCACCCAAGTGGTAGGAAATGGTTTGATTGCACCTTCCTTCGGAAAACAACAAAACCCTGAGAAGAATCTGGCAGTGGGGTTCTCCCTCCTGGAGACAGTGCGCTGGGGTTCACGCACTGCGGAAAACATCAAAAATGAGGGCAGTCCAGTCCACGCAGAAGCTTCTGGGGGAAACCGAGGACTCAACATCTTCTGTCTTGAAGCTAATCACAGCAAGCTTAGAGTCGGCGTGTGCGGTGTGCCCTGCACAGAGGGATCTTCTCTGTCAGCGGGCATGGGCAAAGGCAGCGCTTCTCACCCGGGACCAAGCCTGCTAACCAAAAGGTCAGCAGTGCCAATCAACCAGCTGCTCCTTGGAAACTCTGTGGGGCAGTTCTACTCTGTCCTGTAGGGTCACTATGAGCTGGAATCGACTTGACGGCAACGGGTTTGGTTTTTTTTGGTTTTAGAGACATTTAGGAGCCCTGGTGGCAAAGTGGTTAAGAGTCTGGCTGCTAACCAAAAGGTCGGCAGTTCAAATCCAGCTGCTCCTTGGAAACCCTATGGGGCAGTTCTACTCGTTCCTATAAGGGCGCTATGAGCCAAGGATGCTGCTCAACACCCTAAAACGCACAGGACAGCCCCCACCACAGAGAAGGATTTGGCCCCAAATGTCAACAGTGTGGAAGTACCGAATCCTTGCGTTAATTATTTCGGGAAAAAAACTCGAGTTCGATACCTGCTCACACTCTACACCAAAATAAACTCCCAATGGGTTGGACGGTGTAAACCTGGCTGATTATCCAACTTCTGCGATCCCCTCTCACTCAGTCTGTGCATTTAAGCGTGGGCAGCATCCTAGGACTTCAGTAGGAATGAACAGGGGTCAGTGGAATCCTCTAACCCAGTGGATCTCAACTGGGGGTGATTCTGCCTCCCCCAGGGAACACTGAGCGATGTCTGGAGACGTGTGGTTGTCACGACTTTCGGGGGGAGGCGGGGGGAGGTGCAACTGGCATCTAGTGGATAGAGACTGAGGCTGCTGCTTACAGCGCACAGAACGACCTCATCTCAGAGAATTACTCAACAACTGTAAACAGTGCCGAGGTGGAGAGACGCCGGTCTAAAGAAGGAGTTTAAAGAAATCATCTACTATGACTCCTAAAAGAGAGAGCCGAACACAGCGTGTTCCTCCGCCAGAGCTGGAGCCCCAGCGGACCTGGTCGGGACAAGGCAGGACCTCTTCCTGGCTTTGGGACAGCCAGCCACGGAGCCAGAGGCAGCCATTCATCCCCGGCCATCATCAACCACTCCAAAGTCATCAATGACATGCCATCCGAGTCTCTATTTCAGGCCAGAGACACTCATTCCCCAGCTGCCGGTGGCTTACTGCCGACAGCTTACGGCAGGAAGCTGACCTCGCAAATGCCACTGTGATCATGGTGCAGCCCATAACCGATAACGGGTCAATGCACAGGTACAAAGGCCCTGTCCCGGGCCTCGATGAAGGGCATCTCTGCAGACCCATCCTGCCTCCAAAGCCCCTCATGGGATTGTCTGAGGGCTCCACTGGGGACTGCACCACAGATCAACGTCTCCTGGTGCCCAACCCTGCTTCCCGCACTCCTCACAGGCATTGCTCTTAAGAACTCTCCCACTAGAACCCCTGCTGGAAAATCTCTATCTCAGAGTCCACTTCCAAGAGACCAGCCCCAAAACAATCACTGGGTTGGCAGGGACTGTACCCACACCATACCCATTGCTGTCGAGCCGGTTCCGACTCATAGCAACTCTACAGGACAGAGCAGAACTGTCCCATAGGGTTTCCTAGGCTGTACACTTTACGGAAGCAGACTTCTACATCTTTCCGCCACGGGGCGGCTGGTGGGTTGTAAACTGCTGACCTTCCGGTTAGCATCTGAGTGCTTTAACCACTGCCACCAGGACAGAGACTGCAGCCCTTGCAATTGCTGCTTGACCAGCCAGTTTGTTGTCGTTGGCTGCCATCAAGTCGACCCCCGACTCACGTGACCCCAGGCACAATGGAACAAAATGCTGCCCTGTCCTGTGCCATCCCCATGATCAGTGGTGGTGGACCGGGCTGTTGTAACCCATAGGGTTTTCATTGGCTGATTTTCAGATGTCGATCGCCAGACCTTTCTTCCTAGTCTTAGTCTGGAAGCTCAGCTGAAACCTGTTC